AAAATAAAACAAATTAAAGTCAATAAATTATATATATATATATATATATACATATATATATATATATATATATATATATATGTATATATATATATATATATATATTTTTTTTTTTTTTTATATTATATATTTTTGAATAAATGTTCATATGTTCATATTTCTTTTATTTATTAATTCATTTGTAAATTTGATGTTGTTTATTAACATTTCTATTTATTTAAATTAGTAAGTATTTTCTTGAAGTATTGAAGATATTTATAGTCATTTGTATGTTTAAAATAAAATAAAACAAAAACAAAAATAAATAAAACAAAGCAAAAATAAATCAAAACAAAAGCATAATAAAATAACTAAATAAAATGAATAATTTAATTAAAACAAAATAAAATAAACAAAACAAAAACAATAAAATAAAATAAAAACAAAACAATATACAACAAAAACAAAATAAAATAAAAAATAAATTTAAATAAATAAAAAAAAACAATGTAACACAAAAGAGAAAAAATAGATAAATAAAATAAATAAAACAAATTAAAATAAATAAAACAAAAACAAAAATAAAACAAATAAAAAATAAAATTAATTAAATAAATAAATAAAAACAAAAATTGAAATTAAATAAATTAAACAAAACCAAATAAAGCAAAACAAAACAAAAAAAATTAACAAAAACAAAATAAAACAAAAAAATAATTAATTATTTAAATCAATAAAAAAACACAAAACAAAATAAAAAACAAAACAAAAAAACTAAATTAAATTAAATCAAATTAAACTAAATAACACTGGTCCAATTATAATTTAAATTTCTATGGTTATATTTTTGTCTTTAAATGCCTTTGAGTTGGAAAGTAAAAGTGATGGCACAACACCATATAAAACTATATTCTGTACACAAAATAACACATTCAAGCAGCATAAATAAGAACCACAAAGTGGCATGTATTTCCCAACACGGCTAATGAATGGACATTAAACATTTAACATATCTGCCAAATGCTTATTCAGGCAACTGCTAAGGGTAACTAGCATACTGTTCTTAACATCTCTTAACAGGTTTGGTCAGTCAAAAAGCTGCTAATAAAACTGAGCAGTTCAGGCCTCAAATAACAACACTCAGAGAGCAGAAATACAAACGTAAAAACCCTGAGGCCAGTATTTTAGCAGATCCTGTGAGCTTTACAGGAAACCTTTCCCCTCCACACATGAAAACCGCTGACAAATGTGGACAGAGGGGCGACAGGACTCAACGTTTTGGTTTCAATTAGTAATTCACAACCTTTCACATCTGCCCGCATCACTTTGATTAATTAGAACCTTTGTTTTTCCCATTTCTGCTGCCAGAAAACAAAATCAGACCATTTTTTATTCCCCGAGCTCTTGGGAACCGATGTCTGAAGAACTTTCCAATTTCTCTAATTCATGCTCTAGGTCTAAAACTCAACTCTCACAGCCGTGAATGATAATGTTTCAGCAAGCATTTCAAATGCCATCGCCCTGCTGAGATGACTAACTTTAAGAATAAACGGCTCTGCTTTTTTGCATATTTGCACGATTTTGCAGAAAAAAAAAACAGATGGAAAAATTTCAACCACAGAGTTCAAATGACGTCATAAATGTTCACACCAATGCACTAAAATTAATAGTTTCAGCTTTAAAGTAACACTCCACTTTTTTCAAATTGGAAATAGGATCATTTTTCAGCTCTTCTAGAGTTAAACAGCTGCTTTTTACTGTTTTTGAATCTATTCAGGTTTATTTCTATTGTGCTTTTACAATGTACGTCAGGGGTGTCAAACTCAATTCCTGGAGGGCCGAAGCCCTTCACAGTTTAGTTCCAACCCTGCTCCAACACACTTACCT